GACTCCTGTGTGTCTCTTGGACTGCAAGGCGATGAAACCGGTCAGTCCTAGAGGAGATCAACCCTGACTGCTCTTTAGAAGACCAGATCCTGAAGATGAAACTTAAATACTTTGGCCACCTAATGGGAAGGAAGAACTCACTGGAGAAGAGCTTAATGCTGGGAAACATTGAGGGCAAAAGAAGGGGACGACAGAGAATGAGATGGCTGGATCGAGTCACTGAAGCAGTTGGCGAGAGTTTAAATGGATTCCAGAGGATGGTAGAGGACAGGAAGGCCTGGAGGAATGTTGTCCATGGGGTCGTAATGGGTTGGACATGACTTCACAACTAACAACAATAAAATGTACTAAACTTCCAATTGTTTTTAATACAGGCATGAGCTGCACAATGGTGCACAACATACTTCAGGGAATTCAGGGATAGGGATGAGGGTGAGACAGGAGGCCCTGGTTTTTGATTGCAGCTACCATCATTTGGAATAGCTACCTGGTTAAAAGGAAATTGACTGACTGGCTTTTGCAAAATGTTTATAGAATACCTCTTTAATAGAGTATTACAAGACTCTAATTGTTATTTTATTATTGCTTTTCTACTATCCCCCCCCCCAGTGGATGTTTTAATTGTATACTATATGTCTATAACTGTGAACCACTGGGAATCCTCAACTAAATTAGGTTTGTGGTCCTCTTTTCACGCTCTCCTTCCCTTCCCTCCCTCCCTCTCTCTTTCTTTCTTTTGCAGCAACCCCCCCCCCCATTTTTGGCCTACCAGGCCTCAGGGAAGCCTCTTGGGAGCAAAAACGGACCTCATCTCACCCCCTATTTGTGGCCTAGCAGGCCTCAGGGAAGCCTCCAAAAACAGACCCCAAATGCTAAAAAAAATTTTTTTAAGTTCCTATCATCACGCAGCACAGCTGATTTTCGGAACTTTTTTTTACTTTATTAAGCATTTTTTTCACCCCTGACATACGTACGTACGTACGTACATACATACATACATACATACATACATACATACATACATACATAACCAGTGATAGCTTGCTTTTAAGCCACTCTAGTTGTCTTAGTTACCTTGACACCAAGGATTGAACAAAATATAGATAAAATTCTTAGTAGGACTATAAATATTAGATCCTGTATCCACTTTCAGAAGATATTTTCCAATGATCGCATCAGCTGGGCTGGCTATAACTATTTCACACTAAGAGAAGAACAAGGCGTTTATAACAGTACAACATTGTATATAATAAATATCTAAATACTGCAGGAAGATGTACATTGAGAAAAGTGTGCTAGTGTGTACATTGCTGTGTATGAATGCAAATTTGTGGGGAAGCATGGCTGTTGATTAAAATACGAGTGAGTCATTTTTTTCTCTTGCTCCATCTTTGGTATGTGTCTTCTTATAATGGCCCGTGGGATTAAGCACGGGAGAGAGGATAAAGACCCACAGCCTGGGGAATCGTCTACTAAGAAGCAGCTTTATTTATAGGTGTGGGGAAAGCATAGGAAGCATTTGAGAAGATTAAGAAGAGCATGCTTTTCCTCTTCATTCTTTCTCCCAAGTTCATTCCTGCATACCATTACTTTTCTGCAATAATGAATGACAATTAATATGATACTTAGGTTATAAAAGATTCAGCATACCTGATCTAGTAGTTGCATAAAATAGATGCAAACATATTTAACTCTCTCTGAGAAGAGACATTAGAATTGTGCCACTATTTATATTCAGTGCTTTGGATCATCCAGAAGTTTGAATGTACTTCACTATTTCATGCAAATTTCTGCATCAGTGTTGCAGTGATGCTAAATTCTTTACTTCAGAAAATACAGTCTTTCCTTGTTAGAAGTTTACTTACATTTTTTTAATGGAAGATTGTTATAAATTGGTTAGTCATATGATGACACTTCTCATAAGGTTTGAGTTCACCTAGGATCATTAGCCTAATGAAACAGCTCGGGAGAGTCAGATTAATCTTCAAGAGATTAAACAATAGTCGATAAAACAATAGTCAACACATTACATTTGCTATCCAGTTGTTCAATATAGAAAGTTCAAAGCACTGAGCACTGATGATGTTACTTAGTTGAGTAATGAAATCTCTGCAATCAAACAAGCAAGTAAGAGAGCACCAAGGACTCCACAGTTCAACAATTAGCTACAGATATTCTCCATCAGTTGTGTATCTAAATTGTTTACATTCAGTTTCGAAAGTAAATCTATTTATCATTCTTTTCATCATTCCTCCTTTTCTTTTTTTATCACTATATGAGTTATTTATGCATAGTATTTCTTTTCTTAGGATTCCTCTTAATGCCTTCATTGAAATGTATTTTGGTCTTCGAACAATGCTAGTGTGTTACTATTTAAAGAGCCTCAGGACTGTTGCTTTGCTTCCTGCATAAAACTAACACAACTTTACCTGTTAAGATTGCTAAAGTTGTAAGTATAACAAGCAAAACTAAACTACTCTATCCTATGTCTGGTGGATGTGCTGAGTTTACAATTCATAGGTTTTTCTCAATACAATCTAACTTCCTCTGGGAATTGTGGCCTAATATATTTAGAAGAAATTGAGAAACACAGCTTTAAGCTAACATTTCAATGAAGAACATCCCAAAACTTTATACCTCCTTCCCATTTGTTTGACAAATGTTAGCATGCCATGGTTGAGCATCTTGTTGTGTCCTTGGATTCAGGGTTATGAAGGTCCCATTGGATGGCATTGGTGTGTGACCTAGAAAAATATAAATTGATTTAGACTAATATTAATACATCCAGATGGTAGGGCAGCAACTTTTGTATTCTATCTTTAGCTTTGACAGATTCTATTACTGAAATAAAATTGTACCAGTGATGCCATCAGAACAGAACTATGGAATAGATGTCTAAGATCTTAGCCAAGAAAATGAATTGGGAGATTTCTAAAAATGGCAAGCCTGACTTAACACATTTCAAAGTACAGGTAATTCCCAGGTTACAAGCGTTCCCTTAGTGAACATTCAAAGTTATGCGATAAGTGCCCCCGTAATGTTTACAAACAAGTCCCAAAACTACACATCTTGCAGCACCATGGCAATTATTCACCCTTATGAATGGAGAGGCTCTGCAACATTTGTCCTGCATAGTCTTAAGCAGGTGACATGTTCCATCACTAGCCCCCCCCAATGGTCTTCCCAACCCTGAAATACCTCATGTGTACTTAATGAAATGCACATTAGATTAGCGAATGAGTGGGCAAAAGGAGTGAGTGATCCCATTTAAGGTATGAGATTCATTCCCATGAATCCTCAGGTTACAAATGGAATGGGCAGGCTCTATTACATCCATAAGTCAAGGACTACCTGTAAACTAATGCACAAATCACCAACTAGAGCATTGGGATAAAATATCTAAGAGAGAATAAGAAGAACTCCATGTATCCATTAAACAGCCTACTACAGGAAGCCCTTGACTTACAACACTTCATTTAGTGACTGTTCAAAGTTACAACGGCACTGAAAAAAATGACTTATGACCATTTTTCACACTTACAATTGTCACAGCAACCCTGTGGTTACATGATAAAAATTCAGATGTTTGAGGAGGCAGGGCTGACGTCACGGCGGTACGACGTGCAATCTTGCAGCTCCAAGATCGCCGTAGATATCTCTGCCGTTGGACGGTCCTTTTGGACCTAAACCGTCCTGTAGAGACGGTGACAGAGAAAAGCTGATCCCAGGGACATCACAAAGTCCCTGGTTGATCCAGAAGAAGCCATTTTTCCCAGCAGCTGCAAGCCAGCCATCAAAGCTGTTGAAGTCAGGGATAGTTCCAGGATGGAAGAAAGAGCAAGAGAGAAAGTGTGTCGATCTGGTGAGAGGACTTTTCATCATTATTATTTGAGAGAACACCCTAAAAGACTAAAAAGTAAATTAAAATTGAAGACTGAAGAGGCTAAGCGGCGAGATTAAGTCAGAATCAAGTTGAGTGGTGTTTTTATTTTCCTTTTTATTGTTGGAATTTGGTTAGATTTTTACAAATGTCTTTTACTTTTTAAACTGGACTGGTTTTTTTCTTTGTCTTTTCTTTCTTAAATATTTGCACAATAATTTTTACTGCCTAAGACTCTTTCCCCCCTACTGCCCCCCTCTTTTAAGGCTCTAATTGTATTTCCTTTTTGAATTTTTTCTTTTTTTCTTTTTGAGTATAAGGAAATTAAGGGAAGTGGAAGAGAATAAATAACACTGCCACCTAGAGGCCTGGAAACATTGTTTTCCTTTTCGTGTATGAGTGTTTAGAGAAACGTTTAAAAAAATTAAGACCTGGTGTTATATTTCAAGGACTTTAAGCCTGTTTATGGATAGTGGGATGAGCATGGGAGATTGTTATACAGATGCTTTTCTGGGATACTATCATTGCGTGGAGTTTGGGCTTGAAAGAAAATTTGGAGTTCAAAGAAAGAAGATTGTAGTGACCTTGAAAAGAGAATTGCTAATTCTGTTTTGAACTTAATACAACAAGCCTTGGAGTGTTTCTCTCCCCCCCTTTTTTTCTCCTTTTTCTCCTTTACTCTCCTTTTCATTTAACCACTGCTAGCTGGTTTGAGGCCTTCTGCAGAAGAAGTTTGGCTTTTCTTTTTCTTTTTTCTTAAAGAAGGTGTGCTTCTTTTTTATTTTTCTTATCTACTTTTTGGGATGCATATATAGACCTATATTTTCTCCCCTTTTCCTACTGGACTTTGTTATTTTATTCCACTGAAGGTAAAGAAGAACCCAAAAACTCTATTATTGTTCCTTTTATTTTTTGCATGTGAATGATCTGTTTTTTCTTTTAAAAAAAAACAATGGGAACCAATTGGATTAGGGCAAACAAGAGCCTGAAGTTTTTTTCCTTTTTCTTTTTTCCCCTTTTCCCTTTTGTTTCTTTTTTCCATTCCTTTTTTTTAGGGCCACTTGGGATTATAACTGTCCTTTATATAAGTGGATTAAGGTATAGAAAAACCTAAAGATTTTGTATTTCTCAACTACTATATAGTATATCAACTGTTTTGAAATGAGTTAAAAGATAACGGCCACTGGCTCTGCAATACCAACTTCCTCTTCTTCATCATCCGGAGGACAAAGATCAATACACACAATGTTGCAACAGGAAAAAGACAAGGAAGTGACACTGCAGATGATTATGCAAGGAATACAAGAAACCAGCTAGCTCTATTCCTTGATTCAGCTGATATTCACCTAGAACGCTATGGGCATCTCTACCTATCCCCAGAGCCATGGTGAATACCATCGCAGAGGGTCTAGAGGGAATGGCTAGCAGCCCTCCACAAGAGGAGAGCCCTCCAACTGCAAGACGTAGATGACTTCCTGCAACTGCTAGAGGCCAGGATTGAGGAGGGGGAGGAGAACCCATATGGGGAAGAGGAACTCAGCAACCTAAAGCAGAGGGGCCACCCCATCAAAGAGCACATCCGTGAATTTAGGAGGGTCATAAGAGGGCTACCCCCTTTATCAGAGCGGCTGCTGGGGCATTTTTTTCAGAAAAAGCCTGGACAAGCGAATTGCCCAGGTAATCACATACTGCAACATCCCAAATCAACTCTCTGAGTGGTTCCAAGTAGTAACAAGAGTTGACAGTGGGCTGTGCACCAATGACATGAGAAAGCAATTGGACACAAAAGAGAGAGGTCAACCTGACCTGAAACCAGCCAGCTGGCCAGAAACCACAGCATAACAGCAGGCCCTGAGACCAACCCTCCCTCGAAGTCCACTGAAATGCTATAGATGTGGAGGGATGGGCCACATGGCAGCTGCATGCCCAACCCCAGTTCCAAAACCAAGGCCAGACCCATTGCCCATGGCACAACCAGAACAAGGCCCCAAACGGACCACCAACACATCCGGGAAAGCCCTCCAGGTTGCAGAGGCCCCTTCCTCCTCAGGTGAAAGTGGTGGAACCCCAGGCAACGACAACCAGTCGCCCGAATCATATGACAGCGAGGACGAGGGAGAAAATGACCCAATGGTGAGTGAACCAATTCACCCTTTCCTTTTTCCAATACGCCTCAATGCTCCAAAAACAGGAAACCAGGGGGATTTTCAAGCTGTAATAGACTCAGGCTGCACGAGGTGCTTGATCAATCTAACTGCAGTCCTGAAACAGGGGATCAGAGCAAAAAGACTGGCCCACCCGATCCGGTTCAAGCAGGTTGACAGGTCCCTAATGGGGGGAGCCTATGCCACCCACCTGACTGAACCAGTAAGGCTAGAGCTAGCAGATCACTGGGAAGTAATTCGATTTAAAATAGCCCCCAAAATGATAGACACAGTCATACTGGGGCTTGGCTAGACAAGTGGGGACCGATCATCTGGTGAAAAGGGAGTACTTGCAGACTTAGAATATGAAGGAGCCCCCAAAGCCTCCCACACCAGGTAGCAGAAACACCACCCACACAGGAACACCCCCAAAAAGAGCCCACAAGAACAACTGGCAACCACATCCGACAAAACCCCCGAGGCCAAACTGATTCTGATAGAATATCAGGACCTAGCAGAAGTATTCAGTGAAGCCGACTGAGATGTTCTGCCTCCTCACCGTGAAACAGACTGTGACATCGAAATCATCCCCGGGGCAAAATTACCCAAGCCCAAACTGTATGTCATGATGCCCCGGGAAATGCAAGATATGCACAAATACATAAACAATAACCTAGTAAGGGGGTTCATTGAGCCAGCCAAGCACCAGTCCTCTTCAAAGAAAAAAAAGAGATGGAACTATAAGATTGTGTGTGGACTTTTGAGGGATAAATGGGGTGTGCGTACACAGCCTATACACCCCACCCCTCCATGAAGGACATGCTATCTCATCTGGCCAAGGGAAAAGTCTTCACCAAACTAGACCTCAGAGAAGCATACTACCGAGTACGCATCAGAGAGGGAGATGAATGGAAAATAGCATTCAACTGCCCCCTAGGGAGCTTTCAATTCAAACTGCAGGGGGCCCTAGTGGTATTCATGCAGTTAATAAATGAGGTGCTGCATGAGCACCTCTACAAGGGGGTCCTCGTCTACCTGTATAACATCCTTATCTACACTGAGACCATGAACGACCACATACCTCTGGTCCGCCAAGTACTGGAAAAACCTCCGGCAGCCAACCTGTACGTCAAGGTATCAAAATGTGAATTCCACCATGCACAGTTAGACTACCTGGGTTATTGAGTGTCAAATGAGGGCATAGAGATGGACCTAGACAAAGTACAAGCCATTTTAAGCTGGCAAACCCCTCGCACCTGCAGACAGCTACAAAGTTTCCTAGGGTTCACGAACTTCTACAGGCAATTCATCCCCTCCTTTGCAAAGATTGCCAAACCCTTAACAGACCTCCTGAAGACAGGGAGCCAAGGAATGAAACCTTGTCCGGGACAACCCCTACAATGGGACCTAACCTGCCGTTTGAAACACTAAAAGAAATGTTTGCAAAGAAGCAGTGCTGAAGCATCCTGACCCCGAGCAACTTTTCGTAATCCAGGCAGACTCCAGTGACATGGCAGTGGGAATGGTGCTACTCCAAAGAAACAACCAAGGAAACTTACAATCCTGTGCCTACACCTCCCGCAAGCTCACAGGCACAGAGAGACGATGGGCCATGTGGGAAATGGAGGCTTTCGCAGTGAGATGGGTACTGCTAATCTGGAGACACCTGTTGGAAGGGGGCCGGAAACCGTTTGAAGTCTGGACTGACCACAAAAATCTG